GGACAACATGGCACAACATGAATGGAAACTAGTTCCCTTTTATGTTCTACCCCATTCCCTTCTGCTCCAACCTCTGCCTAGTGAGACAGCAGAAACCCTGGGAGACTCTTCCCTTCCCACCACTGACCTGGGCGGGGGTCCAGCTGGCAGGGGCAGACGGGGGAGGCTCCATCTGAAAATCCTGCCCCATCCCTGCCTTGGGGAGCAGCTCCAGCTGGGTATGGCTGAGGCCCCAGCACTGACTTGCTGTCACTCCCGTCCCCGGGGACCGTGGCTCCCACTATGAACCTGGCTCTCATGCAGTGACTGGTTTGTGTGTCACTGTCGGGAAGCGGCTCTGGCTCCATGTGGGACAAAGGGCATCTACAGCCCCCCCAGCGATGGGCACGTCCCACCTCCCCTCTTCTCACCCTCTGATTCCAGCTCGGAACTTGGCGCTGGGGCGCCCGGCCACACAGTCCTCCACGTACGTCGATAACGACGGGACTGGAAATGCCGTGGCTGGAAAGGCCGTGGATGGAAAACGCGATGGGAAGTGGGTACAAGGCTCCTGCAGCCACACCCAGCTCGACACAGAGCCGTGGTGGACCGTGGACTTGGGCAGTCGTCAGTCTGTCTCCGCGGTGATCGTGAAGAACAGGGAAGACGAATGCTGTGGGGAGAGAATCAGGGGAGCCCAGATCCGCGTGGGAGACTCCCTGGCCGACCATGGCAAGCAGAACCCCATGTGAGTTGCTTTCCCATCCCCTGGAGTGAGATGACTCCTGCCAGCTCAGACACAGGGGTATCATTGCCCGCTGGGACCAGGGCTTGGTCTCTTCCTCTCCGAGCCCCCTGTGCTCTCAGCTCCTGGATGAAAGGGAACCACATGTCACTGAGCACAGCGACCGCTGCAGGGCAATCCAGGGTACAGCCGATCTCTCTCCAGGCCCCTGCGTGTTCTCTCTCTGCCCTCACAGCTGCTCCTCGCATAGAATCATCTCATCCAAGGCAACAGGAACTGATTTTTCTGGGAGCCATAGATTTCTAATACCAAGAGTCACCTTTCCGATCATCTAGTCTGACTTCCTGTATCACACGGGCCAGAAAATCTCTCACAGTGATTCTGCACTGAGCCCACAATTTCCCTGTGAGCTGCCATGTATCTATTAGACAGACGTCCGATTTTGATTTAAAGACTCCAAGGAAAGGAGACTCCACTGTGTCCCCCAGCAATATGCTCCAGTGGTAAATGGCCCTCGCTGATAAAAACATGAACCTTAGGTCTAGTCTGAATTGGGTT